GGGGCCGCCCGGCCGGGGGTACGGGGGGTGTCTCTGGGCGCTGTCGCCTCCGCGCAAGGGGAGCGGGGAAGCGCTGTCGCGGCCAGAGGCCGGTGCCCGCCCAGAGCCAGCGGAGCGGGTAGGAGTTGCGCTTTTATTCTGTGGTTTCTTACCCTCCGGCCCAGTGCTGAGTTTTAGTGTGATTTGTTAATAAATACTCTTATTTATTCCTTGTGGTTCACGCGTTTTCCTCCCAGCCTAGAGCTGTACAGCTCTGCCGAGGGGAGCTTCAGGAGATGCTCTTGGCCCAGTCACAGCTGCACGTTCAACCTGAGAGCAATCCCCCCGGAGCCCTGCCCTTCAGTTTTACGCATTAAAACCCCTTTTAGCATTATAGTTTTTCATCGTGTTTCATGTGGTTAACGTCGCTATCCCTGAAGGCATTTAAAAGGTGTCAATGTGAGGGGACATGGTTTAGTGGTGGACTCGGTAGTGCTGTGTGGGTTAAAGCAGTCAATGATCTTAAAGGTCTTTTCAAACCTAAGTGATGCTATGATTTGATAATTTAGCTCAAATGACAACAGCTCTTGCAGGGGGGAAGTGAAATGAGTATACCTGTACTTCATAGTCTGCTTGCACTGGGATGTGGTTCCTGCTGTCTGGAAAAGCGTGTTGGCACAATTGTGTTGCATTTGAACAGTTAATTAACACTGTCCTATCTTACATATCTAATGGCCCAATTCTGTAGCTTGAATTCAAACAACTGCTTCATCAAATGCAGCTTCTTGAGCATTCCTCTGCTGGGAATGTACCTGGGTTTGGGATTTTTAGTTGTTGAGGGTGTTGCTGTTGTTGTTCAGGAGCTGGAGAGGGTGAAGAATGGACTCTCTGGACCACATGCTGACTGACCCCCTGGAGCTGGGACCCTGTGGGGGAGGAAATGGCACACGCATCATGGAGGACTGCATGCTGGGGACCACCAGGGTTAGCCTGCCCGAGGACCTTCTGGAGGATGTGAGTGGTGCTGAGATGCTTTTGCTTTTCAGAGCATAGATAAACGGTGTGTGCTTAACTCCCTTTGTGGGGCTTACAGAACAAACTGTAAAGGAGGAAAATGTTCCTGCCTGGCCTGGAAAAGGGTTTAAAAAGGGCTTTGATTATTCTCAGGAAAACATATTTAAAAACCATTCTGTTATGTTAGCTTTGTAGACAACAGTCTTTCATATTTTAAAAATGCCTTTGAGAAAGCTTTGTTTCTTAGGAGTTTTGAATTTGTTTTCTTGTTGCAAGTAGCATAACTGATTTCCTCACCTTTTCTCTGTATGCCCAGTTGTTTTCTGCATTTGGGAGACACTTTCTCATGACTTGTGTTACTTAACCACAGAAGGCCTTAAGGGCTAAGAAGTGGTCAAGGATACGGATGCGTTTTCTTCACTATTGTTTTTTTGCTTTCTGTAGCCTGAGATCTTCTTTGAAGTTGTCAGCTTGTCTACGTGGCAAGAGGTGCTGACAGACGCTCAGCAAGACCACCTAAAAAAATTCCTGCCTCACTTCCCTGAAAACAACCGAGAGCATCAGAACAAACTGATCTCTGCGTTGTTCAGTGGTGAAAACTTCCGCTTTGGAAACCCACTTCACATCGCCCAGAAGCTCTTCCGGGGTCAGTGAGCAGCATAAACTCCATTTATTTTCAGGGTTAAGCACTCGCCTCGCAGCTGATGAGAAGTGAAGGGGTTTGTACCTCTTTCTTACAGATGGACACTTCAATCCTGAAGTGGTGAAGTACCGGCAGCTGTGTCTGAAGTCGCAGTACAAGCGCTACCTGAGCTCCCAGCAGCAGTACTTCTACCGGCTGCTCAAGCAGATCCTCGCGTCCCGCAACGTGAGCATCCCCCCTGTGTTCTGTGGTGATTCCATTCTCTCCACAGCAGAGTGTCCTGGTATTTGTGCAGTCACAGTCCTTAGAGGTCTTTCTTTTAACAAATGCTGTGTTTGTGGTTTTCCATCAGTCCTTATAATAACACTAGAAGTGGTTACGTTTGGGAATTTTAGGTTTTGAAGCTCTTGCAGCTCTCGCTTGTTCGTTGTTCTTTATTTCTGTGCCCACATCGTCCTCTGCTTTATGCATCTGGCCCTTTACACCTTTTTGTACTATTAATGAGTTGTTCTACCTTCATTTTCTATGACTTCTGTCACTGTGAAACGAGTAAGGTTGCTGAATATTTAGTTGTATGAATTCCATGGCTTCGCTGGGGACTGGTGTGGAATAGATAAAAACCTCACATTCTGATGCCTGTAAATCCCCAATGAAGTTGTTTTCCTCTGTGGATACTGCTGGCAGCTCATTCCTGCCAACTGAAATGTTTTTGTTGTAAATACTTACTGGCTTATTTTGTTAAGCTTAGATGCTGAAACGTACAGGATGTGTGGATGGAGACAAAACTCTGTCTTGATAAAACACTCTACAGTGATACAGGAAAAAGAATATGGAAGTGTCTAGGAAGTGATTTCCCCTGTAGCCATATGGGGTGGAATATTCACTTCAAAAGAGACAGTATTTCATGTCCATGTTATGTTTTGGCATGGAAGCTGCACAAGTGCATGTCACACTAATGGTGAGGTGGTTTTTAACAGCCCCTGTGAAATGACCAGAGCTGAGGTGCTTACTGCACCACCTCCACATACTACTCCTGGGGAAAATACCTGAGTTGAGCTTCCCTTATGAGGCCGAAGCTCAGATAGCTCATGTCACATGTGTCTCATCTTGCAGCACTTGCTGGATTTAGCTAGGAAAGGAGGCCCTGATATGACCCTGAGGAGGAAGCACTTCTCACCAACATATGACATGGAGGAGCGAGACAGACGGACACACCGGCGCTACCTGAAGATTCTGAGGGAGGTGAAAGAGGAGTGTGGAGATACTACCTTGTCTTCTGATGAAGAAGGTAATGCTCTGCACTGAGCTAAAGATTTAAGATTTAAGGTGTGAATGGAGAATAACAAATCTTTGATGGGGGGTCTTCTGATGAAGAAGGTAATGCTCTGCACTGAGCTAAAGATTTAAGATTTAAGGTGTGAATGGAGAATAACAAATCTTTGATGGGGGGACACTGTCTTTCATAGAAGGATGGAACTGGACTCTGGTTTTATTGGCTGATCTAATGAACACGATATAATAGAATTATGTAGATTGGTGAGAGTCTTGCAGAGGACACTGTCTTTCATAGAAGGATGGAAACTGGACTCTGGTTTTATGGGCTGATCTAATGAAGACGATATAATACAATTATGTAGATTGGTGTGAGTCTTGCAGTAATAAATTTATTTCTCTATTAATTTTAGATCTAAGCTCTTGGCCTTCAAGTTCTCCAGCACGCAGCCCAAGTCCACCAGTTCCCCTGAGAGTGATCCCCACGTTGTCAACTATGGACATGAAAACAGCAGGTCAGAATGAAACTGGGGGTCAATGTGGATTTAGGGGTGAGAATCCCTTTGAGACACTGCAAGAAATCAGTTTGAAAATCTAGTGTTTCAGGGGAAATCTTGTAACGCTTCATTTTTGCAGCCTGCAAAACAGTTGGCTCTTCTTGCAGTTTATTTAATCTTTTCTTCCTTGGAAAGCTAGCATTTTGGAACACAAAATCCCCCAGTTTGAGTAATACTGCTGACCTCTCTTACATTTTGCCTGTAATGGTTGAAGCATTTGCACCAGCGCTGAAAGCTGGTGGCCCAAGGAAGAAAGCATTGCAATAAATTGATCAAAAGAATGAAATTGAAATAGGGCAAATTTAGTTGCTGAAATTTGGAGATTGGTGAAAGTAGCAATGGATAAAAGATGGCATTCTAAGAAATCCGTTAAGTAACAATAATGGACATCTGTGCAGATAATCTCTGGATGTTTTTTCATTGCAGATAAGATAGAACTTGGGGAAAGTGATTTGAAGATGATGTTGAAGAAGCACCATGAGAAACGAAAACGTCAACCTGTAAGATGTCAAGAAGCCTGGGGGTGTGGGACTGCAGTTTAGCTATTAGTCTTACCTGTTATTTGTAAAGCTCAGGGTACTTTGGGGTGACAAAATGATTGCTGGTTTTTTGTCTGCACAACCACCCTTCAACCCTTTATCGTAACCTGTATTTAAATGTCAGCATCTATATGCAACCCCTGTTTGTACTTACCCATTCAGAAGGATTTTTTAATTTTAGTGACATGTTTGGGAGAGATGAAATTTTAGATTTCAGGGTTAAACAAGTTCCCTATTTCTGTTGCTCTAAATAACTTTATAAGCTGATCCTGGCTAAGTTGGGGGCATTGCAGTGCTTGGGCTATCTTCCCAACTACCTAAACAATTTGTCCTTTCCCATTTTTAATTTCTGTCCCATTATCTGTAGGACCACCCTGATCTAGTGACAACAGACGTGACCCTTGAGGACATTATGACTCGAGTAAATGCGGGCAGGAAAGGTTCCTTAGCAGGTAAGGCTTGGACCTTGGACTTGTGCACTGTGTGAATTTTTGATATCTGACCATATCTTTATATACGTGGTTAGTTTGTGACTCCCATTGAAGTCTGTTATGAAGCTTTGTAATTCTTCTTGCCTTTTATCATATCTAAAGCATTATTCGACCTTGCAACCCTCAAGAAAAAAGTGAAGGAAAAGGAAGACAAGAAGAAAAAGAAGCTGAAGATTAAATCGGAGGTGGACGATTTGGCTGACTCCCTTAGCAATGCAGATGGAATCCCACCCATGTCCCAGGGTCCTTCCCCCATCCCTCTGTCATCTGTCAAAGAGGAGTAAGTGCTTCAGAGGGCTCTGAACGTTTTGCATAAATGGAGAGAGCAGCAGAAGCTGCAGCTCAGATTTTTGTGCAGCTTGGGTTTTGTGCAGCTTGGGATGTGGGAAATGTGTGGTGTTCATCTTTACATACAAAGGTGAATATCTCCTCAGGGAATTTATTCTGCTTGTGTTCTCTTTCATTTGAAGACCTCTTGATGAGATGAAGCCATGCCTTGGAATAAATGAAATATCTTCCAGCTTCTTTTCCCTTCTTTTGGAGATACTCTTTCTGGAAGGACCTGCTACTCTTTCTGTGGTAAGGGAACCAACCACTTAATCTAAGAGTCCTCTCAGAAAGCAAAATCAGGGGACAAGGTGGTGTTATAACTGTGCAACAGATTTTTCTACTGAGTTGTCCTGTAAATTCTAGTAAGATGTAGATTGCATATTAAAGAAATGAAACCCTTCAGGACTGCATAGCACATTCTGCTGTTGGCATGTTTCATGAGTTTTATCTGTTGAATCTGTCTTTGCATACCTGTTCTTTAGATGATTGTTATGTACATTCTATAGATTGAGGCTAGAGATGGTGGGGAAGTTTTCTTTCTCTTTTTGGTGTCTGTTGCCTGAAATACCATGTTATGGTTACTTGAAAAAGTCAGACAATTTTTTTTGATGTATAGAAAACCTTTTTGTCCCCTGGGTTTGTTTAATTGCTTTGGTTATTTCTTTATTAAAACAGTTTGATGCATGAAATTTTTAATGGAATATTTCTTTTTTCTCTCCAGCTTGAAGACAAAGTTCTAGATTGGCAATCTTCTCCTGCCAGTGCACTAAATAACTGGTTCTCCTTTGCCCCCAACTGGTCTGAACTGGTTTTACCAGCTTTGCAGTACTTGACAGGTGACAGCACAGGTAAGAATAGCTGTTAAAATATTGTTGGTGCTGGTGCCTCAGTTCTGATCAGTGCTCAAATCAACTTCTAATTCATCAGTGCAATAAATCATTGTATTTTTGACAGTGTTGCTGTGATGGGCTTTGTGGCTTAGATTTCCTGAACACAGTAGATTTGTTTTGCATGTGGACAGTAGCTTAGGCCCAGCTTGATTCCTGAGGATGTGAAAATGTGGGTGATATTGTCTCTAGAAAAGCTGTTTTACCTGTTTAGATGATGCACTTCAGACGGGGTGTTTGAAGCAGGACGAAGTCAGTCTCTTCATGGTGCATAGACATTGTGGTTGTCTTACCTATAACTGTGGTTATCAGAAATAGCAAAAAATAAACTAGATTGTGCCCTGAGCATCCATTGGAAACACGAAGTTGGCCCAGCTTTGACATGTGGCTTAGACTTGGCCATTCCTTTCAAACTAAATTATTCTGTGGTTCTCATTTACTTAGTGAGAAGTTTTAAAGGGTGAAACTGTGTAGGTTGTAGTGGCCTTTGCAGCGTGGGTACTTAATGTTCTCTGTAATGCTGGCAAACACTGTAAATCCTGAGTTTGCTTCCCATCAGCCCAGGAATAGTCCCTGTACAGTAACAGTTCCTGGTCCTTCACAGCATGAGCAGGATCTAACCTGACAGCCTGTGGATGAAAGACTTGTTATCCTGTTCTGTTCTTGTGCTGTTACCTTCCCATTGGGAAAGTATAAATTTAAAGGTGCACTTACATCATCATTTAAAATGCTTTATTTGTCCTTACGAGTCTAATTCAACAGCTTGCATTAGAGCAGAAGGATTTTGGGGGGTTGGATAACTGCATGACATCTCTGACATGCACGTTTTTCATTGTAGATGCTCCTTCCAGCTTCTCACCTTTTGTTGAATTTAAGGAAAAAACTCAGCAGTGGAAATTGCTTGGTGAGTATATTGTGTTCTTCTATGATTTCTACTATAGTAAAGGTTTATTTTTTTTCCCCAGAACTTGACTTTTCAGCTAGCTCCAGAGAGAAGGATGGAGCTGTTAATTCATTGTTTAGGCCTTTTCTTTTAGCTGAGTGAAGATGTCTTTGGATTTGAGGTTTTCACAAGATGTTAGTGTCAGCAGCAGAGACAGAGAATAAGGGAGCAAAGGCACTGGGCTGGTCCCTTTCACAGTTTTTGGTGGAGGTCATGTAGGCACATGTTTTTGCTCAGAGACTTGGTGACTGGGCTTACTATGAGCAGGAACCATCTGCAGGTATCAGGTGATTCTGTCTCAAACAGTGTCTTGTGCTGTGCCAGGAGCTGAAGTACTGTCCTTTGCACCAACACAGGAGAATAACTTGGCTTTAGCACTTTCCTAAGCCTGGATGTTTTCAGATACTGAAACCTGGAGCATCTGTGGAGTATAGAAGATGCCTTGTGAATGATGATACATATAGAAGGGGGAAGGGAGTACGAGGTGACTCGGAAGTACAAGGAATTGGCTACATAACAAGTAAAGGACTTCTATTTCCTCTTTCTTGTGCTAGGTTCTTGCCAAGATCATGAAAAGGAGCTGGCAGCGTTGTTTCAACTCTGGTTAGAGACCAAAGACCAGATGTTTTTCAAAGTGAGTCAGAATAAATCATCTAGCAGCACAAATCCTGACTGAATTATATCCAACACTGCCATTTCTCTGTTTTTTTTACAATAGGAAAATGAAGACAGCTCAGATGCCACACCAGTTCCCAGAGTGTAAGTAAATAACACTGCTTGAAGTTGGGTCCTTGCTTCTCTGCATCTCAGGGCCTGATTGCTTAAAATAAAAAGATTTTACATCATGGGGCAGGAGCAGAGCTTGGTAGTCTAATTTTATAGATGTAGTAGCTAGACTTCAGGAAGTCAACTGATTTTCTGCAAGTGCACGTGTATTAGAGCAAACCTATAATCCAACTTATGTCCTGGTAACAGAATTATTTCCAGTCTTTGCTTACCTTCAGGTAGAGCATAGAGCATGTTTTAAGATCTCTGTGGGACTTCCTTATATTATCTAGTGCTTTCAGAATTTGTTGAGAAGAATTTGCAGAAAGGGTGAGGTGACTGATCCTTTGGGATGTTCTTTGGGCCTGTTGTGGGCTGTTTCTTGCTCAGAACTGATAGTGACCTGTGTTTCAGAAGGACTGACTATGTAGTCCGACCTAGCACTGGAGAGGAGAAACGTGTGTTTCAGGAGCAGGTAAGAACTGATTTTAAATGCACATGTTGAAACAATCAGCCAATAAAATGAGAATTTTTATGGGATGGCAGTTTTACACTATACATAAACTTTGTTAATGTAGAGAATGATTATGTTTTTTTTACCTTGAGGTAGGTATCTTGACCCTTCAAAAAGCTTTCTAACAGTATAGCCTAGCTGCTTCAAAAGCACCTGTACTCCCACAGGTACTGGGCAAAATTAATGGAAATGGGTCATGTCAACCTTTCTATCTCCTCTGCCATCCCCCAGCATATGAGTACACGCACTGTGCACATGGTAGAATATCCCATTTCATCTTGGGAACATTCTTGCAGCGTTAAAGGAGGCAGAAGGGGTTTGTTGCTGCTGAGGGCAGGGCTGTTTGGTGGGCAGAAGGTGTCTCTCTGGCACCTGTGCAGCTGAATCTACTGTATTGCACTTGCACACTTGGGTTAGGTGGTGATTTGTGTTCTGCTTGAAGTAGTTTGTTCTTGTATTGCTCCCAAATAAGGTTACACAGCAGTGTTTGAGCCTTTAGTTTGAAAAACCTTTCCCTGCAGAATGATGGTAACTTACAATACAAAAGCACAAGCTTTAAGACTTCGCCCTATCTGCTTCCTGCTAAATTCAGTCCCCTTTTCTTTCCCAAATGCAGGAGCGTTACCGTTACAGCCAGCCCCACAAAGCTTTCACTTTCCGTATGCACGGCTTTGAGTCGGTGGTTGGGCCAGTGAAGGGTGTGTTTGACAAGGAGACCTCCTTAAACAAGGCCCGAGAGCACTCCCTCCTGCGCTCAGACCGACCAGCCTACGTCACCATCTTGTCCCTCGGTAAGGTGATGGCCATAAAATTTTTCTTAAAAAAAAGAAAAGATCTCCCCTGACCCACCAAATCATGACTGTGGGAATCTAGCTTAGAAAGGGGGAAGGTGGGTGGGCTGAAATGATGTAAGCAAAGATGGAATCTATTATACAGAATAGAGGTGATGAAATGCTGAGAGCAAGAATGACAAGAAAAGACGAGAGGAGAACAAAAGAGTGGCTGTTTCAGTAGCCTGTTGTGAAGCTGGGGCATCACAAAGTCATTCTGGGGTTCAGTGCTGTTCCCCACCTTCGTCACTCCTAGCACAAAGCCAGCACAGCTACTGTACTCTAAATTGTTCCCTTAGAATCTCTGCTCACACCTCTGAGGGATCACAGGGGCTAGATTTTCATGAGCAAGTAGGCCCTACGACAGCAGGGATAAAAGAGCAATACCAGAATACATCTACCAAAGTACTTTGAATACAGCTACCTAGTTACAGCTGTAAGTTTAAGCTCTTGATTTGGTATTTCAGTTCGTGACGCTGCTGCTCGCCTTCCTAATGGAGAAGGAACTCGTGCTGAAATCTGTGAGCTGCTTAAAGATTCCCAGTTCCTAGCTCCTGATGTCACAAGTGCTCAGGTAAGTTGGATGTCAGGTCTGGCCTCACACAGGTTCTCCTAAAAACACGCTGTGCAGAGCTGGGCAGTGTTCAGTGCCCGAGGCCAAGCTATTTTTTATGCTGCTTTGACTAGCAATTGAGAGCTATGTACTGCTCTTGTGAGCTGCTGCAAGCGTGCACCGAATGCTTCAGGATGAAAAAGCAGCAAGAAGAGCTACAGAACTAACACTGTCATGTAGCTGCTTACGTTTTAGTTTCAGGCACAGTCCCATTTTCAGAGCTTCCAGCTTTGGTGCAAGCACCATTCAATGCAAGGTGGCAAACAGCACCCTGTGCTGCTACATCTGCTCTCTGTTCTTACTCAGGTGAAGATGGCTAGCAGCTCCCTCAGATTTTGTGCCAGACAGGATTACTTTTCCATTCCTAATCTTTGGCTAGCCCAAGCAGGGACATCTGGTAATTCTGTGCATTCTGAACTTGCAGGTTAATGCTGTTGTGAGTGGTGCTTTGGATCGACTGCATTATGAGAAAGATCCCTGTGTGAAATACGACATTGGACGCAAGTTGTGGATCTACCTGCACCGGAACAGGAGTGAGGAGGAGTTTGGTAGGCCTGGCTTGGTGATATCTTAAGAACTGAAAATGTTTATCAATCTCTTGAGCTTCTTCAGCCCAGCTGCATAACGAACATTAATTCGTCAGTCATTTGACTTAATGTTACTCCATCAGCACTTAAATCCAGTCTGGCAGAGTTGGAAGTATTTGTTTGGAAAATATCATTCAAGTTCTTATGTGTCTTATTTGCAGCCTTTCTGGCTAATTTTACTTTATCTTTTTCTTTCTGTTATTACACAACTATGTGTGTTTGATTTCTTCTCTGAAGAAGACCTCCAGTTTCTGGATTGGCCTCTTTCTTAACTTGTGCTTGCTTGTGGTCAGGAAGTCTAACCATTAATTTGTAATTGCAGAACGGATACACCAGGCTCAGGCTGCTGCAGCAAAAGCCAAGAAGGCTCTTCAGCAGAAGCCAAAACCTCAGGCTAAAATGGTAACTTTCTTGGCACAGCTTTTCCCAGATGCCTTTGGGATTGTGAAGGAGGTGTGGTCTTCATGTAATCTGTAAATTCTTCAACCATAGTGGCCAATGAAAATTACCATGTATTTGAGTTATCAATTAATTATATTTATTAGTGTCAGTGTTGGTCTAGCACCAGTGCCCTAAATGAGGGAGGGGGAAGAGGGGACTTCCGCTCCTCCCAGCTCCCCCTGTTACCCTTGTTGATCTCAGCAGAAAGGTCAGTGGAATTCATCCGTGCTCCTTATCTTAGGGAAGGTCTTTTAGATCTAGTTCTGAGGTTAACCTGTAGCAGAGTGTGTGGAACACATCTGCTGCTCTTCCCCTGGCTGTGTTGAAGCTGTCAGGGTTTGGATGTCTCGTTTATTGTTGTTGATATCAAATACCTCTAATTGCTGTTGGCAAATTAACCAGGGTGGAAATCTGCATGGTATGAATGTTTGTCATGGCTCAGATGCACTTTTCCCTGCGAACACGAGCAGCCAAACACACCAACCCAGTTGTGGCTGCAGTTGAGGAAGGTGGAAGTCATCTTTGATTTCAGGATTTAGCATCATTTGTAACCACAGAGAACTTGGCTTAGAGTGCTCAGTCCCCTCTCTAGAGTGCAGCAATCAAACCCAGTTGTTGTGAAGACCTTCACGTGTGACATGTTTTCTTTGCAGAAGTCTAGTAGCAAGGAGAGTTCTGGGAAAACCCTCCCCAGCAGCACATCAGAGCCCAGTCAGCCGAGCCTCAGTGACTCCAGCATGCCACCAACTCCCGTGACTCCTGTGACACCAACTGCACCAGCATTACCAGCAACGCCTATTTCACCCCCACCCGTGTCTGTGGTTAGCAAGAGTGTATCTAGTGCTGGGTCAGAGCCAGCAAAACCCAGCCAAAGGTACTTCTTCTGTCTCATACATCACTTGTGAATGTTGTTGGTTCTTTCTCAGTCATTTCTACATTCCCTACAGTACTTAAAGGGGGTGTATAAGAAAGATGGGGACAATCTTTTGAGCCTGTTGCAACAGGACAAGGGGTGATGGTTTTAAACCAAAAGAGGGAGATTTAGACTAGAGAGAAGGAAGAAATTTTTGATGCCTAGGGTGGTGAAATGCTGGCCCACCTTGCCCAGAGAGGTGGTAGAAGCCGTGGTCGCTGCCCCATCTCTGGCAAGATCCCAGGTGAGGTTGGGTGGGGCTCTGAGCAACCTGCTCTAGCTGCAGATGGTCCTGCTTACTGCAAGGGGGCTGGACTGGATGGCCTTGAAAAGTCTCTTCCAACTCAAAGCATTCTGTGCTTCTGTGATCTTTGCTGACTGCTGGCTTCTCCTCTTCCACAGTGTGCTGCTGGTGTCGTCCCCCAGCATGCCGCAGCTGGGGACGCTGCTCTCCACAGCCCCGAGCTCGCAGGCGCCGCCGGGGCCGCAGCCGCCCCCCGCCAGGGTGGTGGGTCACACCACGTCCTCGGGGCTGCCCCAGGTCCGGGTGGTCACTGCCCCCTCCAGCCTCCCAGCTGTGTCTCAGCCAGCCCCGGTGGTCACCCAGCAGCAGCAGCCGACGTCGGTGCCTCAGATCCGCGTTCCGGCTACGGCCGCCCAAACCAAAGTGCTGCCTCAGGTGAGCTTGGCTGCACGGAAACAGGAGAGTTGCTCTGGTGTCAAATCTGAGTTCTGGTGTTTTGGTGAGTGCACAGGGATTACTTGCTCACTTGGAACGTGCAGTAACTGCAGGGTGGGAGCGTAGAAGCAGCTGTGCATAAACAGTGTTGTTCTGTGCTTCTTTATTCACCCTGTTTACTGTTTGTGTGGCAACATTAAACAGTGCCTTACACTAAAAAGTCTGTGGAACTTGCAAAGTTCAAGGCATGAGACAAAAAGGGCAAATTGTTAGTCTGTTGGTGTGGTGTTAGTCTGCTCATAGGCTGCTTCTGTTCTGTAGGCTGTGATGACTCTGCCAGTAAAAGCTCAAAGCAGCCCAGTGCAGGTGCAGAGACCAGGAAGCTCTGTGACAGGACAGACAGGCATCACTGTGACAGGATTGTCTGCAGCACCCAGTCCTGCTGTAAAGCCAGTGACCAGCTCTCCGGGCAGTTCTGCTACAAGCACCTCCTCTACCACTGTCATCCAGAATGTAGCTGGCCAGAACATCATCAAGCAGGTGAGAGAGAGCGAGAGACAAGGACCTGGGCTCCACAACCCAGTCGTTTCCTGTTTGTTGTGTGGTAAGACAGTGAAAACAGTGATCCCTAATGTTATATGAGTTACTGACCCTACAGGTTCAGGCAGCTGCTAGTTTGGCCTATTTGAGCCCCAGATGTCTTAGGCCAAGGTTAATCATCTTCAGATGCTGGTCTCATTTTCATTCATCTTGTTAGAAAAAACAGCTCCACAGCATTTTGTGTTTTATGTGGTTTTGGGAATGCCAGCTGATAGGTAACCAGAACTGTTTCAGCAGTGTACTGAGTGCTGTCATCATGCCCCTTCACTTCTGATGGGTCAGACGTCCTCCTGTTAGAAAGTTTGACTTCAGCTGTGTCATGGTTTGACACATTGATTTCTCTGATCTCTTCCAGGTGGCTATTACAGGACAGCTTGGCATGAAGACCCAGCCTGGAAGTGGCATCCCGCTCACCGCCACCAATTTTCGGATCCAGGGGAAGGACGTGTTGCGCCTGCCCCCCTCCTCCATCACCACAGACGCAAAGGGACAGACCGTGCTGCGCATCACCCCGGACATGATGGCCACCCTGGCCAAATCCCAAGTCACTACTGTCAAACTGACCCAGGACCTCTTCACGGCAGCTGCGGGGAGCAGCGCTAGTGGGAAAGGCATCTCTGCGACCTTGCACGTGACCTCCAACCCTGTCCAGGCTGCTGATTCTCCAGCCAAGACCAGCACGGCCACTTCTGCTTCTTCCAGCCCAGCTGGGAGCACAGTGGTTAAAGTGACTCCAGACTTAAAGACTGCAGAGCCGACGGGCTCCGCTTTCCGACTGATGCCTGCCCTGGGCATGACTGTAGCAGATCAGAAGAGCAAAGCCATAACTACGGTGGCATCCACTGAGGCCAAACCTGCTGCTACAATAAGAATCGTGCAGGGGCTGGGGGTGATGCCTCCAAAAGCCGGGCAGACGATTACGGTAGCGACTCACGCCAAGCAGGTGCCCTCCTCCTCAGCAGTGAGCGTGCCTGGCACAGCCCACACCTCAGCTGTCTCTTTGCCCACCATGAGCGCCGCGGTGTCCAAAGCTGTTGCCGTGGCCTCGGGAGCTGCTGGGACCCCCATCACCATAGGCACAGGAGCCACTGCTGTGCGGCAGGTACCTGTCAGCACCACTGTGGTATCTACATCCCAGGCAGTAAGTAACACAGACCTTTCTCCAGAGGTGGGTGAGGAAGGGGAATGCTGAGGTATACTGATGCTTTATGTGTCAAAACTTCTCCTTACGTCCACAGAGGCTCAAATTGAGCACTCTAGGATGGGTGTCTGCAACTAATGTCGTTGTAGCTAAATGCTGAATGACCACAAGACAGTCAGATGTGTCTCCCCTTACCCCCTGTTGCAAGCAAATGAAATAAACTTTGCTTATCTAAAGTCCGACCTTGGGGAGCTCAGAGTCTTGCTCCACACCTCTGCAATAATATCCCTTGGAATGGTGTCAGAACCAGAAGTGCTTCTTACTTGTGTTAATGTTTTTACTGATTTCCCTGTTTGATGCAATTTTAATGCCCAGAGCTGAAGGCAAGATAAACTGTGTCGTGAAAGCTGCATGAGCTACTTGGCATTCCGATAGTTTCCGAAGGATAAAAGTCCTGGGCAGATACAGTGATCCTTCCCAGAGGAATGCTGTGGTGATGCAGGTTGTGGGGACTGAGGCAGCTGTGAAGTGGCTGAGGCGGAGGTGAATTTTTACAAGCACAGGTTTCATCAGCAAAGCTGCTGTTAGTTTCTACTCCCAGGACTCATAAAAGGCGAGATGAGTGGTAGCTGCATGTTGTCGAGCAGTTTCTCTGCTCAGCTTCCCACAGTTCCTCTTGTGTTCTTCAATTTCTTCAGGGTAAACTCCCAGCACGAATAACAGTGCCTCTGTCGGTGATCAGCCAGCCAGTGAAGGGCAAGAGTGTTGTGACTGCCCCCATCATCAAGGGCAACCTCGGGGCCAAGTGAGTACTTTGCATCTGGTAGTTTTTGCTTTAGAAATAGGCCGAGGAAGGTCTGTGTTCAGTGAGCTCCAGGGGACCTTGCAAGCTGTGTAGTCTGAGGCTGCCTTTCCTTTAAAGAAAACAGGGAAGCATTAACTGCCTCAGTGCAAATTCTTCTGGCATGCAGATACTGAAGTCTTTTTGTTTATTCTTCCACCAATTCTGGTAGAGTCTCCCTTAGTTAATATTTCAGGGCAGAACACTGTGTGCTCAGCTATTTTTTGCTTTCTGTGACAAGTGTTCAGGTCTGATTGGACTAACCCAGTGATGTGCATGGTCCAGAATTAGAGGGTTTAATCCATGTTCTCTGTCATAGTGATAAATGTTGACATAAACTTGTCATTTGTGTATTTGCCAGTTTAGCAAGGGGAAAAAACACCCACTACTTCAAATCATGATACTAATGTCTTAGTATCTCAAGAAAAGTTTGTGACTCTGAAGGACCTCTCCTGCTCTGCTGGTTGCTAACCTTTCAATAATTCTCTTCCCGTAGCATCAGTGGATTAGGGAGGAATATCATCCTGACTACGATGCCAGCAGGGACAAAACTGATTGCTGGGAACAAGCCAGTGAGTTTCCTGACAGCACAGCAACTCCAGCAGCTGCAGCAGCAAGGCCAGGCCACACAGGTAACAGCACCTAGAATGATCCTATGAGTTCCTTTTTAATACTTGTTGCTTTTATAGCATCTCTGTGAGGACTTTACACATGATATGTGAGGTTCTTTGAAAAGTACAGCTACAAAGCTTGGCTGTAGCACCTGCATCAAGCACATACAGTGGATTCTCTCATTTACCTATCCTCCATCCAGATATCATTTTTAAACGTTTTTGAAACAGTGTAATGAGTGTAAACCCAAAAATCCTGTCAGGAAATGTTCCTTGCTACTTGAAGGATTGTTTTACTTGGTTTTTTTTGTAGTGCTTTGTACTTTGACTTCTTCAGGTTACTATTTTCTTGAAGAAATCACATCACTTCTCTGAATATTCATCTATCTGTCAGCAAACTTAGTGTTCCAGAGATTAGTCTGCCTTGGGAGCTGCTTGTAACCAATCTGTAGAAGTGAATTATCCAATGGACTCAAGTCCTTCTTCTGAAAACTTGCCAAAGCAGCTCCTTGTAGGTTTTTATCCAAACTAGTTTTTAGGCCTTCTTCTCTAATCTTGAGATCTCTTGCCACCACTGAGTGATCTTCTTGTGACAGATTCTGTTCTTGATGTGTTTTGGTGCTCGTTCTTGTTCATATAACTGCATTTTTGTTGGCAGCAGAAGCAGATCATTTGCCAGCAGTTCAGAGTGCGATGCGAGTGCAACATGGCACCGGGTTGTTCTTAATGTGGGTTGAGTTATTTCTTCTTTCCATTTCAAACAGGTGCGAATTCAAACAGTACCAGCCTCCCATCTCCAGCAGGGAACAGTGTCTGGCTCTACTAAAGCAGTTTCCACTGTGGTTGTGACAACAGCTCCATCTCCAAAGCAGACCCAAGATCAGCTGTGAACACTGGTTTGAAAATGGATCATTTTCCAAGAACTTCCCAGAGTCCGTGGTCATCCTGCATCCAACCACCTGAGACCACAGTCATGGCTAGGGATTGGACTGGATTCTGTCCCATTGCTTGTCTGGAGTCAGTGTTGTGATGTCTAGATAGAAATTCCACCACAAAAGATGCTGCACCCACAAAATGTTTCAGTCCAGATGTGTAAAGCCAAGTTCTGTGGCGCTGATCACTGAAGAAATGTCTTCCTTTTCTTTGTACTCTTCCCATCCAAAGGGCTTTTTGCAAATATCATTTCTGTGCATTTTGGGTTGTAGACAAAGCAGTTGTTCTTGGGTCTTCCTTAAGCAGGGGAACTTGCTTGGAAGGAGTAATTCAGACTTTCCAAAGTCTTCAAGAAGATTCCTCCGTTTGGTGGAGTCTGTCACTGATTTCATAGGTGACTTAGGATGGTGGTTTGGACACCAGAGTGGGTTTGTAGCATAGCCTGGAAGTAGATCCCTAACACACTCAGTGTACTATTTATAGACTTTTAAAATACCTCTCCCCTCTCTCTGAGCTCTGACTTCCTTGAATAGATCCCACTTCCACGTCAAATTTCTGTTGAAGGCAGGAGAAGGGTCAAGATGGTTTTTGCTCTAAGAAAAGTGAGTAACCACGGGGAAGAGTGAAAAGTAGAGGAGATACAGGAGGTCAGTGTGTGAACAAGTCTGTTGGCAAAGGGGAAAATACTGGAAAGGAAAAGGAAAGTGTTCACCAGAAGGATCCTCCTGTAGTTTTCCTCAACAAATAAACCTTTTTATCAGGCAAATAAGACTGTAGCTTGTTTTAAAAGTTTGGAATATGTTTTCAAATATACCCAAACTGTAGTCTCTTGGACTCAGAAGAAATATCTTAACCCATGAGCCTGGCCTTTAGTTTTGTTTTTACCTTTGCAATTTTATCTCTCTGTGTAAATTTGTTGGAATTTTGCACATATCAGAGATGAATTCATGGCTCTTCTGACATGATCTTGAAGCTTTCTTGGAATGAGATCAGAAGATGTGATGGACCAGGAGAAGAATAAAAGTGCAGAAAGCCTTACAAATCTCTCTGCCATCTTCTTTCAGTTTTGTACAGCTTGTTGTTTTGTGTACATTGTCCAGCTTGCCAAAAGCTAATAGATTATCCATCTTCTTTGTAAGATGGTGCTTTTTAACCTGTTTTTTCTTGTAGTCTCTCTTTTTTTTTTTTTAATATGTGGTTTGCTGCGAGTTAGACATTATGGAACAGAATCTATTTAAAGGCCCAAGTCATACAGTTCAGTGCTCTCAGGTGCTGGCTGGAGCTGGTCTGTCTGTACAATCACTAACTGACTTCAGGGATGGGTTGGAAGAAATCAGGCATTTTGGGGAAAAAAAAAAGAAGTGACTGGCTACAGGTCTGGAATAAGCAGGGCGTGTCCATACGCTGTTCCAAAGCAAGGGCTGGAATTATGGTTTACATACCTTGGGAACAGAATTTGGAGTGATGAAGGTTTTCTGAGCACCTGTCCTACTTTGTCAATTCTTATACCTTTTTAGTATGTTTATCAGCTAAGGAGATAGCAGAAAGGCTGTGGTTTGGGAGGGAGGCGAGGACGTTCTTAAGTCCTTTCAGTCAAGGAGTTAAAGTAAGAAAACAAAGAGATGACAAGCCACCTCCTGGTATCACTTATGTCAAAGAGCCTCTAAATTCAAAACATAAAATAATCCTGATACATTAGTTGTGTTCATAATAAAGATCTTCAGTCTCAAAACCTACAGTCAATTGCTGAAAGATGGTTACAGCATGAAGCTCCTTAAATTTCTACTTTGGCTACTTTGCTTTGGCTTGTTCTCTTTGCTTCTGAAGTCGGCAGTTTTTGGGGCAAGAGCATCAGTCACTATTATTTCAAAGGGCTACATGCTGGGTTAGTGTATGTTTACTCCTAGCTTTGGAGACCAAAGTACAGCCTGTTCTGTGGTTCCACTGCCACCACCCGTCTGATGAGTTGCTTCCACTCTGCTTGAAAAATAATCCTTGCATGACTGCAAGTAGAGAGCCCTGATTTTTAATAAGTAATCTTTAACTTCTACATGGCAGGCTGAAGGTCAGAGAGGGGCCTGAGGTGTTCCTGTGGTGGATGAGGGTGTATTTAAGCTAGGCTGTGTGCCATTTGGCTTTTGGTCCTGTGTCTTCTTGCTGCAGCAACTGAAAGCTGTTCTGGATGAGAACTGCAGAGGGGTCTGCACAGAGCAGCCCGCGTGCAGAGGAAGGGGACCTGGAGAAAAGTACTATTCTAATGTTACCCATTTTCCATCTGTTTGTCTTGCCTGCAACTGAAGGGGCTTGCAGATTGATGCATCTCTGCCAATACCTTTTTTAATTAAAAAATGGAAGCAGAGCCTGGTTTTGTCACAGTGAAGTGCTCACTAGCATTGCCCAAGAGCCTTGATTATTTCTTAAAAACCATGGATTCCGTGGTTCTTTCCAGCAAGAGAATATCATGTAACTGTTGCTTACAAGAGCTGAGCATGCTACACAAAACTGCCAAAGGCCATTTAAAGCCCTTCTAACCTTTACTTTAACAACTGCTCTGTTTTATTTAAATCACAGGGGAAATGGGTATTTATGTATCAGCAGGATGCCCTCATCACCCAGTGACCTCACCCTGAGGTTACTTCGTGCTGCTTTCAAAAGCAATAGCTGATTGGACATCAACCTGCCTATTTTTAGGAGTTGATCTTGAAGTCACTGAGTCATTTTTGCAAATCTTGGGCATCATTTCTCCCACCCTGCCTCTTGCTGTCCAAGGGGTAGAGTAACTGTATAGGTTGCACAAGGAAATTACAGCAGCTGGAGATGATAGGCTGGATTCATCCTTCTTGTTCATTGAATGTCCAGATACATAAATCTGAGTTGCTCACCCTGGGTTGCGTTTGCAGCCACTGATACCTCCAGAGGGCAAGTCATTTGACCTCCCTCAGGTGGTTCTTGCAGGATGAGTCACTCTTGGACATGTAAACATTTCTTTTTGTGAACTATAAAAATAATTCTGGATGACTAGCTCAAATCTGGGCTTTTAATGATTTAATTTAGAGATGACGCATGTAAAGTGATCCATTCAATGTGGGTTAAGCCATTTGACCATGGACTCATGTTGTATATGGCATCCTGTGTTGAGGCCTGAAAACTGCTAAATCAGAGGTAAATGTTTTAAGAACCAGTTTATTTCTTTATGCCTAGAAGTATTCACCAAGCCCATTGGGTTAAGCTTTGCATCCAGATCTTCTAACGTTACTTTTTCTTGCTGTCCTCCAGTTTGCAAGACCTGGAACAAAGTCACTCACCTGTCAGAACCAAGATCCTTGAAGCAGAAACATGCTGGGCTTTAAAAGCTCCAGGATCGGGTGGTTTCATAACAACACTTCCAAGAAAAAGCAGAAAGCACTAACTACAGGAGGGAGCATCAGTCCATGGATGTGCTGACCCAGAGCGGGACCATCATGGCCCAGAAAGCAGAGGAGTAAACCTGCTGATGGTCATGCTGCTTTACCTGGTGTGCTGGTGCTGCCTGAAGAGTTAAGAAGGAGCTGGGAGGGAGGACCTGTGAAGACGTTGGCATTGTTTGAAACTTGGTAAGTCACTTTAATGTGTTGATGTGTCATTCTGAATGAATTTTTGTCAGCAAGGGAAAATTTTTTCAGTGTGTGCTTGGGGAAGCAATGGCTGCTTGGTATTTAGAAGACATACATCAAAAAATATGCTCCTGTACATGCAAAAATATGCTGGATTACACAAAAATATTTGCACTGAGAATTTTTAAACTGCTTAAGCAAGTTGCTTGTAAGTCAGGAGGGAATTGCTCCTGTGTTCTCAGTTACACAGTGGAATTAGGGGTTTGGGCACAGTCAGAAGCCCTTAAGTCACTGCAGCCTTATAAATTACTGATCTCCCTGTGCGCTGCTTCGATGGTATAAGGAAGTAAGTTCTGTTTCATAGCTGGGGTGGCCTGAGGAGCTTAATGACAAGCAGTAATGTGGCAAGCTATTGTATCCAGGTTTGCTGCACTGAAAGTGCACTTTCAACTTCAGTTGTCCCCTGTAATTGACTGAGAAGAGGTCTTAAAACTGGTGCAAAGCAGAGGGGTGGGCTGTTTATCTCTTCTGTCAGATTTATTGCCACAGTGTTGGGTGTGGTCTCTGTAAGAAGCTGGTAGCTTACAGAAAAGCCATAAACTTAACTGGGTGGTAGTTGCAAACACACACTAGGACACCTGGGTGGGCGGGAAGGTGTTAATGTGCAAAGCTGAGGATTTCCCCCTGAAAGCCCTAAGCACTTCCTTGTCACAAAAATTTGCACCCCATTCGTTTGAAGAGCTTTGTCTGTGTGCTCAGATAGCTTCGGGCGGGAGAGAGATCCCCCGGTCAGGGGGGTGAGTCCTTTGGAAGTCTGTGTTTGTGTCTGGTTGGTAGGATTTATTCTAGTTTTATTTTTCAGCTTTCGTTGTGGAGGTGAGTCCAAGTGAGGTGGGCAGGCTGCAAGGGCACTGTAGCTGGTCAGAGCTGGCAAACTCAGGAGCTCTTTCCAGCAGGAAGAAAGCTTTCCCTGACAATCTCCACATTCCTGCATTTTAATAATTTCAGCAAGAAGGGTCAGGGTTTGCATTAGGGTTAAATTTAATTGCTGCTTACGTTTTTCCTGCGCTTTTTATGATTTAAGTCAAGCATCACAGAAAGCAACACACAACTGCCTGGGAACCACTGTTCCCAGCTCACTGATTTTTCAAGAGAAGTTTTCTCTCCTCTCAGGAGTTGAGATGGGTTTCAAGGTGAGGCAGGTTTCCCAACATCTCCCTGACATCTGGTGAAAGGGCTCTGAGGGCTGTCCTTCAGCCCATGGACAACCCTTACTCCACAAAGACTTGTGAGCCAGCAACAAATGTCTGAGCTTCAGAGAACTGATAGAAGAGCCACGGGAAAGTAAGAGCTTATATATTTTTCATGCCGTGAGGGAGACCTAGGTTGGATGTTCTGAAAGCTCACAGAAAGTCAGGACACCTTAATAATAGAATATATTGTCTTGAGATGAGCTTCAGGCTTGCAAACCTGATCTAGCCAGCAAGATGTTCCTGCCACCTCATCCCAGAGAGGACTGGCATT